GCTTGGACTTCCAGCAAGCGTGCGTGAGTGTGTTAGATAGGAGTGAATGGAGACGAATGATACTTGGGACCTGACGATCTGTTGGAGTGTGAGCAGGGTAATATTTAGTGAAGGGATTCAGGGAAACCGGTTATTTTCATATAGTCGGACTAGAGTCCTGGAAATGGGAAGTACAATGCCTGCACTTTAAAGGAGGGGTTTGGGATATTGGCAGTTTGGAGGGATATGTTGTGTATCTTTATACATATATGCTTCTAAACTGTTGTATTCTGAGCACCTCTGCAAAAACAGTGATAATGTGTGAGTGTGGTGAAAGTGTTGAATGATGATGAAAGTATTTTCTTTTTGGGGATTTTCTTTCTTTTTTGGGTCACCCTGCCTCGGTGGGAGACGGCCGACTTGTTGAAAAAAAAAAAAAAAAAGAAAGGACGGAAGGATGACCCAGGCAACCATCATCCTAGGATAACCCAAAAAACTCAGAGAGTGACTTATTTCCATGTGGTTGGTGGGGAGGAAGGTATGTGAAGGCAGTGAGGGTTAGTGAGTGAGTGGTGTCTTTGTGACACAAGACACGCAGGTGACTTAGCATATTTACAAGTCCACCCACACACAACTACAAGCTTTCAGAACCTCTTGCAGTTCTAGGAACGTGTCCAGTGACTCCATATGTGTGTATATATATATGATAGAAAAATAGTAATAAACAATATTTTTTACTGGTGGTTTGTGTAAACATGTTTTGTAAACAATATAATGACAGAAAAGTTTGTGCAGTTATTGTGTAGTGTACGAGTGAATATATACCAAATAGTCCTTATATTGGTCTCACAGGCCACAAATGTTACTTTAAAATATTAAAAAATAAAAGTCAAAAGTAGAAAAAAACAAAATAAACTATTACCACGTGACTGGCAGTCAGCGATGTTGCCGTAAGCAGTTCAGTTTCTGTCAACTTCACGCCTCCTTATCTCGGTAAGTACTGATCACAAAAAAAAAAAAATTCTTTTGCCCTATAACACCCACAAAAAACTATCATTTCAAAGAAAAAAAATTTGTTTTTTCCGAATATTTTTCGACCCTGAGAATGAGTTTACTCGGAAGAGGGCCTCTCAACCCTCAAAGGGTTAAATAACTTCAAGGGCACACGAATAATTTATACTCTCTTTACATTCAGCAGAATTTCATTCAAATTACTTATTGCCTCTGTTCAACACTACACATTCCAGTAGTTAAATAATGCTTTTATTTTCTTCATTATGCTTACTCAATCACTAAGCTCTCTCATAAAGCTGTTCTATATAGTGCAACATTTTGCAAATGCAACTGAAAAAGTGGATATACTTCTTCAATCACATTCACAACTTAATGGAGTTGCCAGGTGATAATCAAAGAGCTAGAATAATCAAATGAATTAATATATTACTATATAACCATAACACTAATCAATATAGTGAACTGATATACAACATTATTAACACTAATCAATATAGTGAATAATATACAACAACCTTATTAACAATAATCAATATACCAGTGAACTTATATACAACAACCTTATTAACCCTTAAACAGTCCAAACGTATATATACATTCACCTGCGCAGTGCCCCGAATATTTTGAGAATTTTTTTTTTTTTTTTTTTTTATAGAATAAAAAGAGCATGAGGTACCCAGACATCCCCAATTTTTTTCATACGGCGCACACTGAGTGCGCACACCAATTCTCTCATGTCTAGGCGACTCAGGCCTATCGTATCAATGTTGAATGAATAAAAAATGAAATGCATATATATGTTTGGGGTGCTACACGAGAGAACGTATAGAGTGGACCCCCAGTATTCGATGGCATCGGTATTCGATAAATCTGGTATTCGATGTATTTTAGCGCAAAAATTTCACCTCGGTATCCAATCGAAAACCCGGTATTCGATGCGATTCGTACGAGATGTGTCCACGTATGGCCTGAACTGCTCCGTGTGTGCCAGTGTTTACAAGCCAGCCAGTGTGCGCGCATCTAAGGATACATTCGGTACATTCCATATTATCACTGTTTTTGGTGCTTGTTTCTGCAAAGTAAGTCACCAGGTTGTATAGCAAAATAAGTCACCAGGTTGTATAGTAAACCCCAATCAACCATCTCTACTATAGTGACCAGGAAAACGGCAATCAAGGAAGCTGTTCTTGCAAAAGGTGCAACTGTGATTACGAAACAGCAACCGCAAATGTTAGAAAATGTTGAGAGACTGTTATTTGTGTGGATAAATGAAAAACAGATAGCAGGAGATAGCATCTCTCAAGCGATCATTTGTGAAAAGGCTAGGAAGTTGCATGACGATTTGGTAAAGAAATTGCCTGCAACTAGTGCTGATGTGAGTGATTTTAAGGCCAGTAAAGGTTGGTTTGAAAGATTTAAGAATCATAGTGGCATACACAGTGTGATTAGGCATGGTGAGGCTGCCAGTTCTGACCAAAAAGCAGCTGAAAAATATGTGAAGGAATTCAAAGTGTACATAGTGAAGAATTTAAACCTGAACAAGTGTTTAATTGCGACAAAACAGGCCTGTTTTGGAAGAAAATGCCAAGCAGGACCTACATTACTCAGGAGGAAAAGGCACTCCCAGGACATAAGCCTATGAAAGACAGGCTTACTCTGTTTATGTGTGCCAATGCTAGTGGTGATTGCAAAGTGAAGCCTTTATTGGTGTATCAATCTGAAACTCCCAGAGTGTTCAGGAAAAACAATGTCCTCAAGGCTAATTTGTGTGTGCTGTGGAGGGCAGACAGTAAGGCATGGGTCACTAGAGACTTTTTCTATGACTGGTTACACCATGCATTTGCCCCCACTGTGAAAAATTACCTAATTGAAAAGAAATTAGACCTTAAGGATCTCACCTTCAAGGACCATAACATTGTATCAATCGCATCTGCTAGAAAAATGACAGGATGGATAATGAGAACCTTCAAAACTAGGGAGGCCAAGCCCATGATGACACTCTTCAGGTCACTTGTTCTATCTAGGCTGGAATATTGCTGCACACTAACAGCACCTTTCAAGGCAGGTGAAATTGCCGACCTAGAAAATGTACAGAGAACTTTCACGGCACGCATAACGGAGATAAAACACCTCAATTACTGGGAGCGCTTGAGGTTCCTAAACCTGTATTCCCTGGAACGCAGGAGGGAGAGATACATGATTATATACACCTGGAAAATCCTAGAGGGACTAGTACCGAACTTGCACACGAAAATCACTCACTACGAAAGCAAAAAACTTGGCAGACGATGCACCATCCCCCCAATGAAAAGCAGGGGTGTCACTAGCACGTTAAGAGACCATACAATAATTGTCAGGGGCCCGAGACTGTTCAACTGCCTCCCAGCACACATAAGGGGGATTACCAACAGACCCCTGGCAGTCTTCAAGCTGGCACTGGACAAGCACCTAAAGTCAGTTCCTGATCAGCCGGGCTGTGGCTCGTACATTGGTTTGCGTGCAGCCAGCAGCAACAGCCTGGTTGATCAGGCTCTGATCCACCAGGAGGCCTGGTCACAGACCGGGCCGCGGGGGCATTGACCCCCGGAACTCTCTCCAGGTAAACTCCAGGTAAGTGCCTCCTGGTATTAGACAATGCCCCTGGTCATCCTACAGACTTGGCAGAGCGACTTTCTGGGGACATGAGCCTCATTAAGGTGAAGTTTTTGCCTCCTAATACCATTCCTCTCCTGCAGCCCATGGACCAGCAGGTCATTTCCAACTTCAAGAAACTGTACACAAAAGCTATGTTTCAAAAGAGCTTTGTAGTGACCACAGAAACTCAACTGAGTCTAATCACTTTAATGTCCTCAATTGTATAAACCTTACAGGTACGGCTTGGGAGGGAGTGACTAAGAGGACCTTGAACTCTGCTTGGAAAAAACTGTGGCCAGAATGTGTAGACAAAATGGATTTTGAAGGATTTGAGACTAACCCTGAGAATCCTATGCCAGCTGAGGAATCCATTGTGGCATTGGGGAAGTCCTTGGGGTTGGAGGTTAGTGGGGAGGATGTGGAAGAGTTGGTGGAGGAGGACAATGACGAACTAACCACTGATGAGCTGCTAGATCATCTTCAACAGCAAGAGGCCAGACCTGAGGAAACTGCTTTGGAGGAGGGGATAGAGAAATTGAAGAAGTTGCCTACTTCAAAGATTAAGGAAATGTTTGCAAAGTGGCTTGAAGTGCAAACATTTTTTGATGAAAATCACCCTGACACAGCTACTGCAAGCCGTGTTGGCAGCCTGTACAATGACAATGTTGTGAACCACTTTAGGAAAGTCATAAAGGAACTAGAGGTACAGGCCTCTATGGACAGATATGTTGTGCAACAGAAATCCAGTGACTCTCAAGCTGGTCCTAGTGGCATTAAAAGAAGAAGAGAAGTAACCCCGGAAAAGGACTTGCTACCTCAAGTCCTAATGGAAGGGGATTCCCCTTCTAAACACTAATACCATCCACACTCTCCCCTCCTCCCATCCCATCAATCATCACCAGATCTTCATTATAGGTAAGTGTCAATTATTCTATTGTTATTCTTCTATTGTTATTGTTGTTATTGTAATTATTCTATTGCGTTAAACTTAATATTTCATGTGGTAAAATATTTTTTTCATGCTTTTGGGTGTCTTGGACGGATTAATTTGATTTCCATTATTTCTTACGGGGAAAATTGATTCACTTTTCGATATTTTTGGTATTCGATGAGCTCTCAGGAACGGATTAATATCGAATACCGGGGGTCCACTGTATATACTGTATATAAGGGTTAACAATAATTAATACCCAGTAGTGTATGGATGTTTATCCATTTTTATTTTTCAACAAACCAACCGTATCCCACTAAGCCACCCTGTCTAGCCATTTGTTAACACTAATCAATACAGTAGTATACTGATATCCATCTAATGCTAATCAATATAGTGTAATGATATCTATCCATTTTATTAATAATAATGATGCACTTACTATTGATTGGGCTCGTTCCCTTGTTACGTCCATTACATTACACTTGACAGCATCTAAAGGATTTGCCTCGACCACCATGTTCACTGTGAAACAACCAATTATCAAATTAACATGTTTATTATCTTTAATCTTAAACTTATTTTCTTATAACTAAAAAATAAAATATCATATGAAAATTTGAATATTATTAACATATTCATGAAACAGCTTTTCATCACAACTTATTATCACTTTCAAATATTTATCAACATTCATATATTATGTGTGAATGATGATGAGTGTGTTTCTTTTCTGGGTCACCCCGCCAGTGGGAATGGCCAGCATTTTGAAAAAATATACGGGTTTTACATTGAAATATATGTAACAGTATTTAATAAAAAATAGGGAATTTTTTTTTTCATTTAGGATTTAAAAAGGCATATGAAAGAGTGGTAGAGGAGCACTGTGGGAGATGTTGCAAGTTTAAGGGGAAAGGTGGAAAATTATTAAAAGCTGTAAAGAGTTTTATAGGGTAGTGAGGCTCAGGTTGGGTGTGTAGAAGGAAGGGGGAACTACTTCCCGGGAAAAGTAGGGGCTTAGACAGGGATGGTAATGTCACCATGGTTGTTTATATATTTATAGATGGGTTGTAAAGGAAGTAAATGCTAGGTGTTTGGGGGGGGGGGGGATTAAAATTTTGGGGGTCAAAATTTAAAAAGGGAATTGACACAGTTTACTTTTTGTGATGATTGTGTTATGGGGGGTTTTAAAAAAAAATTGCAAAAGGGTTTGTGGATGATTTGGGGAAAGGTGTAAAGGTAGAAAGTTTAAAGTGAACTAGAAAAGAGTAAGGGATGGGGGGTGTCAAATGTTTAATAAAAAAAAAATTGGATATCAAAGGGGGGGGAGGAGTAGGAAAAGGAATTTTTCAGATACTTGGGATTTTTGACGTGTCGGGGGAGGGATTTATGAAGGAGGGAGTTAATCATAGAATTGATGAGGAAAAAAGGTGAGTGGTGCTTTGAGGATATTGACAAAAAATTTTATCTATGGGGGCAAAGGGGGGAAATGATGAAAGTATAGTAGTACCAACACTCTTATAGGGGTGTGAAGCTTGGGTGTAAAGCAGCAGCGAGAGAGGTTTGGGGCAGCGGAGAGTCCTTTTTAAAGGGGAAATGTGTGGTGTAAATATTATGCAGAAATTCGGAGTGTGGAAAATTTGGAGAAGGTGTGGGGTTATAAAATTTAGTCAGAGGCAAAGAGGGGGTTGTTGAGGTGGTTTGGTCATTTTGAGAGAATGGATACAGTAGAATGCATGGAAACATATAAATTTAGGGGAAGGAAGGCGGGGGGAGGGTCGTCCCGAAAGGGTTTTGGAGAGGGGGGAAGGAGGTTTTTGGGGTAAGGGGTTGACTTCCAGCAAACTGCTGAGCGTGTTAGAAGGAGGAATGGGGACGAATGGTACTTGGGGGGCCTGACGTCTGTTTGGGGTGTGAGCAGGGTAATATTTTGTGAAAGGATTCGGGAAACCGGTTTTTTCATATAGTCGGACTTGAGTCCGGAAAAGGGGAAGTACAATCCTGCACTTTAAAGGAGGGGTTTGGGGTATTGGCAGTTTGGAGGGATATGTTGTGTATCTTTAATGTTTTGCTTTAGACTGTTGTATTCTGGCACCTCTGCAAAAACAGGATAATGTGCGAGTGTGGGAAAATGTTTTTTTTAATGATGATGAAAGTATTTTCTTTTTGGGGGTTTTCTTTCTTTTTTTGGGTCACCCTGCCTCTGGGAGACGGCCGACTTGTTGAAAAAAAAAAAAAAAAAAAAATGTATATATTTCTTCTTTCTTTCAACAAACCAGCAGTATCCCACTGAGGCAGGGTGGCCCAAAAAGAGAAACAAAAGTTTATCTTTTAAACTTTATTAATGTATACAGGAGAAAGGGTTACTAGCTCCTTGCTCCCGGCATTTTAGTTGCCTCTTACGACATGCATAGCTTATGGAGGAAGAATTTTGTTCCACTTTCCCATGGGATAAGAGGAAATAAACAAGAACTAGTAAGAAAATAGAAAAAACCCAAAGAGGTGTTTATATGTGTATGCTTGTACATGTATGTGTAGTGTGACCTAAGTGTAAGTAGAAGTAGCAAGACATACCTGAAATCTTACATGTTTATGAGACAGAAAAAAAAGACTCCAGCAATCCTACAATCATGTAAAACAATTACAGGCTTTCGTTTTACACTCACTTGGCAGGACAGTAATACCTCCCTGAGCAACCACCCAGGGAGGTACTACCGATGGTAGGATTGCTTTTGTCCTTTTTTCTGTCTCATGAACATGCAAGATTTCAGGTACGTCTTGCTACTTCTACTTACACTTAGGTCACACTACACATGCATGTACATGTTTATGTATACACACTCATCTGAGTTTTATTTTATTTTATCTGAATAGCTCTTGTTCTTATTGAGAAGGGATTCAGGAAAACCAGTTAGCTGGACTTGAGTCCTGGAAATGGGAAGTACAATGCCTGCACTTTAAAGGAGGGGTTTGAGTTATTGGCAGTTTGGAGGGACATCTACACTGTAGTATCTGAGCGCCTTTGCAAAGACAGTGATTATGTACGAGTGATGGTGAAAGTGTTGAATGATGAAAGTTTTTTCCTCTCTTTTTGGGGCTTTTCTTTCTTTTAGTCACCCTGCCTTGGCAGGAAATGGCTGTGTTTAAAAAAAAAAAAAAAAAAAAAAAAGCTTGCTGAGTAAACTACATAAAGTTTACAGTAGAATTACTACTGAAAGGGTTGGGGAAAGGCAGAAAGTAGAATTGCAGTACCTAAGACCATTACATATGGTTGGGGAAAGGCAGAAAGTAGGATTGCAGTACCTAAGACCATTACATATCACCTGTTATTACTACACAAGACTCACCATCTGAAACAATGACAGAATAATCCAGTGACTCTGCATTCTCAACATCAGACCACGGTGCGACACACTGCCCATTTTGTCTGTGGCCGCTCTTATCTTGGCTCTAGGTAAAACACAATATCTGGTATTAGCTCACTTTCTTTTGGTACCAATTTTGAAGAATAGACACAATATAGTGGCTAGAATAATTCACCAAAAACTCACACTTATAAGAGGAACCTTATGACAACATTATGGTCTGCCCTGTACCATTGTCAATCACAACTAAATGGTCCATAATATATGGAAATGTTATAAGGAAGCTCTCCTAAGTGTGGGTTTTCTCGCAAATGGTAGCAATGTTCCCAAAGAGTACTTACGTAATAAACTAAATGATTCTTTTTCATTCTTAAAACTGGTCATAAACAAAAGAAACCAAAGATTAAGAACAAAAAGGCATAATACCATGACTGGAACCATGCACAAATAACCCACACATAGGAAAGAGGAGCTTACAGAGCTTTACAGAGAAATAAACACTTCAATTTCAATTGGGATAACGTTCTGATCTGACTTGGACCATTTACAAAGTCACACTTGGTCGAAGTTGAACCGAAATGTCATCATAAGTTCCTCTCTCCTGTGTGTGGATTATTTGTGTATAAACCAATGATTTAGTAATATTAAAAAAATATTTGGTAAAGTGAGGAGTTCCACTAGTTCAGAGGTGTTTTCACTACTAATTAACATTGCAATTCTTGGCAGATAACTTCTATGAACAATAAGCAGTGTCAGGAAACCAAGAATACAATTCAGAGGGCTGAGGAAGAATTGTTGACGAGGTTTGGAGATTTAGAGAGGGTGGGGTGGGATAGGATGATTCATAGAGTATATAAATCTGGGGTGGAAGGTAGGAGGGGTAGGGGTTGTCCCAGGAATGGTTAGAGGGCAGGAGTAAAGGATACTTTGAGGCTTATATAAGAATGTCTGATAGAAGTGAATGGAGACACGTGGTTTTTAATAGACATGCTGTTGGAAAGAGAGCAAGATAATATTTATGAAGGAATTCAGGGAAACTGATTAGCTAAATTTGAGTCCTGGAGGTGGGAAGGGCAGTGCTTGCACTCTGAAGGAGGGGTGGTCATGTTGCAGTATGAGGGCCATCTGAACTATGATGTTAGTACACATCTGGCAAAGGAGCAATTGAGTGAATGATGGGAAGAGTATTTCCTCTTTTTCTTGAGACACCCTACCTCAGTAGGAGATGACCAGTGTAAAAAGCATATGTATGTGTGGTTGCAGAAAAATGAGCTAGGTGCTTCATAACAATAATGAACAATGTTCAAAACTTATATTTATGCTAATGGTACAAAACACCTGATTAATGTCATTACCAGACCCATGCCACTGTTAATAGCAGCGATGCTTGTCACTGCCGGCACAAGATCCTCTGGAGTTGCTATGTCCATCTTCAGAATTCTTGCACCAATGTTCTGAATAAAGACAATCTAATATTATCTTTCAATCAATATTCTCTAAGTTTAACATTACATGAATGTACACTATGCATAGGTTGTATTCCAGTGCTCATCATTAATGTAGCCCAACCTCCCTCTAAAGCCATGACCACAAGATAGGTTGTCTCTTGAACTGGAGGACATCAACCATTAAGAAAGTTATTAACACATTCATCAGGGTTTCATGGGGTAAATTCCCCCATGACTCATAGATGGCATCCTAAAGCCGTAGGAGTGAACTGAAATTCTTCCCCTAGTAGATTTCTTTTTATCTCAGTCCAGAGGTTCTCAGTAATAAAGTTTGGGGAATTTCCTGGTCAGTCATTGAAGAAGGGTACCTCACAAGCCTAAACCACCGAACAACAGACTTCACTGTGTGGCAACAAGCACCACTCTTGGAAAAGACCCAGGCCAGGAGAGTACTGGCGAATAAAAAAAAAAAAAAAAAAAAGCACTGTCTTGCATAAAAAACTCTGTACTACACTGCATGAAAGATTTAGGCAAATGATAAGAAATCAATTTTAGGTATGTTATTACAGGTAATGTTAGTGGGGACATTTCTCTAGGCTTCCCTGAATGTGCTTTTGGAGTGGGTATGTCATCAATACCATCCTCAAGGAACTGACACAACCCAGTCCTCACTGGATGCTCATGCACATCAGTGGCATCTATTACAGTGGACCCCTGGTTTTCGGCCAGTGCGGAAATCTTACAATTCAGATTTTGAGCATTTTTTTTTGGTGACATTTTCCCCCATGTTTCGTACATCCGCTTGGAAATCGTCGGTACCAGACACGTGCGCCTGAGCTGCTCATACGTTCATGACTCACTCTTGGGCACATTAAATGACTTATTTTAGGTTAATATAGACATTTTCATTAATCCATCTATGATTTTTTCTCCAAATTTTGTAAGAAACATGTTACATAGCATATAAACATGCAATGTTTATATGCTGTGGAGGGTAAACATTATGTTTTCTCTGGTCCTGCATTAGAGAAAACTGCACGAATCTGCATTGGCCCAGTAACCACCCTTAATACATAAGCCTTTGTTTACAATTCTCAGCATGAATTATTCATTACTTCTCCCTTTGTTTATGATGGCATCTAAAGGTAGATGTTAGAAACAATTAAACTCAGTGAACATGGTATGTTGATGGTAATAATATGCCTGTGGGCCACAGTGTATGTAGCCAGTAAGTAGGCGTTGGATGTGAGTGACCAGGATGTGGAAGAGTTGGTGGACAACCACAGGGAAGAGCTAACAAGAGCCTTCAATAAAGGTATGTAATGTTCATTTATCATTAAAATGTCATTTACAGTGGACCCCCGCATAACGATCAGCTCCCAACTCGACCAATTATGTAAGTGCATTTTTGTAAGTGCTTTTGTAGGTGTATTTTTGGGGGTCTGAAACGGACTAATCTAATTCACAATATCTCTTATAGGAACAAATTCTGTCTATAACGGCACCCAAACAGACTTCTGGATTGAAATAATATCGCTATGCAGGGGTCCACTGTACATTTATTTCTCATTGTTTTCAGTATGTAAAACTATAGTCATTCTCTATTAAATGTATTTTTTTAATATTTTTGGGTGTCTGGAATAGATTAATTGAATTTACGTTATTTTTTGTGGGAAATATTACTTCAGTTTTCGGCCATTTCAGATTTTGGTCAACCTTCTGGAATGGATTAATTACGAAAACTGGGGGTCTACTGTATTTCCTTCATGTGGTGGTCTACCTCATGTAATACAGTGATCTGTATCTCTCTTGTGTCAGTGACTTAGTCCTGCCCACATTAATTTGTCAAGAGCAAAAACTGTTCAACAAACTCAGCACTCAAGATAACACAGAGCTTAAGGATCTGTCCACTAAATATGCCCAATAAGCACTTACGATGCAGCCAGTAACTTAAGGGAATCCTGAAATGTCCCGTTTTGAGTTGACAGGCCAGCATAACGTTTTGTCGCATGGACAAACTTACCAAGATAGGGTATTACTTTAATGATGAGCGCTCTCCATGTATACTCCAGGTATAGTTGACAATGTGGTACATAACCTGCTGGTAGTTTGGGTAGTATCAGTTGACTGGCATGGTACATAACCTGCTGGTAGTTTGAGTATCAGTTGAGTGGAGTGGTGCATGACCTGCTGGTAGTTTGGGTAGTATCAGTTGACAGGAGTGGTATATAACCTGCTGGTAGTCTGGATAGTATCAGTTGGCTGGAGCAGTACATAACCTGCTGGTAGTTTGGGTAGTATCAGTTGACAGGAGTGGTACATAACCTGCTGGTAGTTTGGGTAGTATCAGTTGACAGGAGTGGTATATAACCTGCTGGTAGTCTGGATAGTATCAGTTGGCTGGAGCAGTACATAACCTGCTGGTAGTTTGGGTAGTATCAGTTGACAGGAGTGGTACATAACCTGCTGGTAGTTTGGGTAGTATCAGTTGACAGGAGTGGTACATAACCTGCTGGTAGTTTGGGTAGTATCAGTTGACTGGAGTGATACATAACCTGCTGGTAGTTTGAGTATCAGTTGAGTGGAGTGGTGCATGACAGTTTATAGTGGGCTTTGCATAATATTTTGTTAGAATCAAGAGAACATTGGATGGTATACATTCTTTTGGTCCTGTAGCAGCTCACCAGTTATCTGGTAGTTAGCTGTGTATACCTCTCTTATAACCCTCAAGCTACTAGTGTATTAGTGCCTGCTCTTATTAGGGTCTATAATGGGTGGGAAGACAGAAAACTGAAATATTTACATTTTGGTTAATGATTCCTTGTATTCAACCTGAAGCTCATTATGTAATTATCATTAAAAGTAAAGCAGTACCATATATTGCTGATGTACCCAATATGCTTCAATAACAATTATAAAAAAAAAGTGTTAACAATCCAACCTCTTTTGTTCAATTATCTTGTTCATTGCAGAGCATGCAACCTTCGTCTTAAACTTCCCTTTAATGCTTGTGACATGTTTATTACCATTTGTTCTCTTGTCTGAAGGTTTGTTTTAATATGTACTTTGTGAAGGGATTCAGGAAAACCGTTTAGGCGAACATGAGTCCTAGCGGTTGGAAGCACAATGACTGCGCTTTAAAGGAAGGGTTTGGGATATTTGATGTTTGAAGTGACATCTGAACCATCATCTATGTGCCTGTGAAAGTGCTGAATGAGAGTGAAAGAGTTTCTTTCTTTCCTTGGGTCACCCTGCCTCGGTGGGAGATAGCCAGCATGTTGAAAAGAAAAAAAAAAAAAGATTCCTTTCCATAATAATAATAATAATAATTTTATTTTGCCATGATACATAGTTGTACAGGGGAATATAATAGCTGGGTTTATGCCAAAAGCCCCTTTGTATGCAGAGCATTTCGGGCAAACTTTAAATTAACTTAAGATTAGTAAAGCAATAACAGTTCATATGTTCATTAGATGAGTTACAGTGCATACAAGAGAATTTAGTATTATTAGGTAATGCTATTTGATTTTAATAAATCTAGTAAAGAAGTTCAGTAGAGAATAATTACAGTTTTGAATTAGTTTATAAAAATTACACTACATATTAAAATAGAACAATATAAAAGAATTTATAATATAAAGTACAGGTCCACCATCACAAATCTGGCAATCAAATATCTGGTTCCAACTGTTATTTGGCACTAATTTTGGCTAGCATAATTTCAAATTTCCAGGGTCGCCACACCAACCTGCTGCTACTGTTTGGTGGTGCTACTTGCTGCATAAGTCATTCCAATTTCTTTTTCCCCATTTATTTAGCCCTAGCCATGGTTTCAACAAATAAAAGAAATGCTTCTCGTTGTGTAAAGCACATGCACAGTACATTATCCATAAAAGGTAAGGTGGCTTTGAAGCCACTGTCAGTTGCCATGAGCTCAGTCTCATGACGCAGGGAAATATGCTTTATTATTATGTTAATATCAAAACTACGGCTTATTTACCTATCACAACTGATCTAATATGACATAATAAACAATATAAATAACATAAAAACATGTTTAATACTCCAGAATGAATAATATTTGGCATAATACCAAGCAGTTTGACGGAGGTAAGAGGAGGATATGGGATACAAGTACCATCCTCCTATCTCTGTCTTGGGGGTTTATATTTGAGAAAACAGAGTATACATATAGCACATGGCTAACTGTGATATACACTTGTAATGCAACATAAAACTGAAACAAAAAAGCTATTTTCTCTACATAGATTATCATACACAGCAGCATATGTGTAGAGAACCTAGGATAACCCACAAAAGTCAAAGTGAATTATTTCTAGTACCTGGCTTGGACTTGCCAAATATGATTTTTGGTAATTATTTTTTTTCTCGGTAGTTTGTTGGGCTATCTTATTGAAACTTGGGTAATGTATGATGGAAAGATGCTTCTTAACATAGATCAAAAATGAAAGAAATTGGACCATAAATAACGGAGTTCACTTCTCAGCCATAAGCCGACCTGTAGCAGTATACAGTGGTACTGCGAGTTTCGAACAGCTCCCAACTCGAACAATTATGTAAGTGTATTTTTGTAAGTATATTTTTGGGGGTCTGAAACGGACTAATCTAATTTACATTAGTCCTTATAGGAACAAATTCGTTCGGTAACGGCACTCAAACAGCCTTCTGGAACGAATTAAGTTTGTAACTCGAGGTACCACTGTATTTTTGTATGGTTTTTATTGTTGTATTCTTATTTTTTGGTTTCATTTGATAGAATGGAAGATATATTAGAGAAATAGATATGATTTTGATTGCTTCCACAATGAAAAGTACCTTGAAATTGAGCTCAAAGCAGCGAAAATGTTCGAGTTTTTGGTGATGTTCAAGAGTAAACAAATGACGTCACCATCAGTCCAAATTCCAATTCGCATTATTTATACAATTATTACAATAATGCAGTAGTCTACATAACAGTAAATCTTCTATTTTTTGAGTGAATACAA